CTAGCGTTTTCCACGCGTTTTTAGGCGCGACATGTGAATGGCCCCTAAGGGGGCGCCTAATGGCACCCGGGTTCGATTGACGTCAGCGTTCGGTTCGTTTGGATGATGTGAACGCTGTCTTCCGAACTCGGGTGCGCACCCGCGAACCGTACCCGAGTCCGCTTAAAAAGGGTGGTCTGGGGTACGGTTCATGTGAACTCCGGTACGGTTCGCTGCTGATGTGAACGCAATCGTACCAAATCACGGAAGTGAACCGCTATTAATGACATATTATTTGATAAAAATGTGTGTTTGTGTGTGTATTTCACTCACTTTCCTGACGAGCGTGACTGAGGCGCTGCACGCAGAGAGAGCTGTTTATCTAATTTCTGTTCGCCTTTAGCATTCTTTAGAGCATTTGCAGTACATTCAAGAACGTAAGACAGACGTAAGTGGCATTATGTACCAAAGCTTTGTTAACAAAACGAACGGTTCAAAAATGTAAATATATAAAATTGCAGAGAGCAATGTTATGCATTTGCCGCCTTCTCCTGCGCCCGTCGTTACTAAGCAACGGGGTAAACAGCTGCTGGCTTGATGACTCAAACGAACTGCGGTTCGGACCAAATAAAATAATATGAACGCAGTCCAGCGGGGGAGGGGGAGCAATCGAACTCTGGTTCGGACCAGGCAAGTGTGAAAGCACCCTTAAAATACAAAGAAAAATTCAGTTATATAGAAAATATAAAGTATTAAAAATATATAAATATTTTTATTAACATAAAACATTTATAGAAACATTTTCTTAACATTAAAAAATATATTAATATTTTATATATATATACACACACACACACACACACATATATAGTGTTTATAGATAGATAGATAGACACACACTAAACATTTTTTAACAAAACTTCTTAACATCAAAAATATATTTTTTATATTTACTTTATATTAAAATTTTCAAAAAAGAAACTGTAAAACTTAATTTATTAGCATTTATTTATTTATTAGAATTTATTTATAAGCATGATCTGCAATAATTCCTGGAAAATATACGTCAACTGTAAATTCATACCCTTTTGCTTGAAAAGCCTGGCAATCTGTGCAAAACATTACAGATTTATCATGTTCAGCCCATCCACACTAATGAGCATCTCAATTAATTCAGACTTGTAAAATCTATTGGCATCTTTTTTTGTGGAGAATTAAACCACCAACCACATGACACTCTCTCTTTATTACTGCTGTCGTATGCACAGTTTGCAAGACAGGGAGCCGCTGTAAAACTAACCAGATGGTGCAGTCTTTGGAAAACCTGGCTAAATAAATACTGTATTGTTGCCAACAAAGTCATCACAAATACAGCTTGTTCTTGAGCAGAGATTCATGCAAGCCAAATGTTCCAACGTGTAATAAAACGGCTCTTCTGTAGTATTTGATCTTTTCTTGAACTCATTTATAAATGTCAGTCAAGAGTTCTTGTATCCGCTCAATTACAGTAACTTAGTTTTACATGATCATATTGCGCACTACTGGACAAGTATGTAAATTTGATCAGTCATATTGTAATAGGAGTTAAAATGAGTGTTTATAATGAGGCTGTTTTAGAATTTGAAAATCTTTTTTTGTAAATGATAAACTTCCAAAAGAGCATGAAAAATAAATGTTTTCATTTATGCGAGTTGAATGACTGTATTTATGTTTGTATTTTCTGCAGTGGTGACCAAACTGGTGGATAAAGGTTATCAGCCCCATCTGGAGGACTTCCTGTTGAGGATCAACCTCAATAACTACTACAAAGACTCTTGATTGTCCTGCGTGTTGAGTCCGAGTCCTCCAGACCTGCTTCAGTATGTATGGTGTGTGTGTATATAAACAAAGACAATGGCCACAATTGCCCGTAGCTGTTTTTCAGTGACAAACTCAAATCCATTTGCTCAGTATTGATGCTGTTAAGCATTTCCTGTTGTGATGTGTGCACTGATGCTTTTCTCCACAGAGGCTAGGCTAGGCTATGTGATGTGTAAAATAAACTGTTTAATTTTCAGATTTCGTTCTCACGACTCAAAGGAAGTTCGAAATGGTCAGAAAGCTTTATTAAAATGTTTTACATTCTGAACAGATGTTACATGGGTTGAATCTAATAGACCAGTAGCTGCTGTGCTGAACAACCAGTCACACATACATGAATATTTTTATTTGTCGTCATGCTAAAGCTCATCGCAGGTTAAACTTCAGACGGTTACTGAGGCATATTAGAGTTTGAGAAACTTCAGGATCAGTTTCACTCCAGCACAATAAATGTAAACAGTTCAACGTCATTCACTAGCAAACAACTTTCAGGAACTTGGATTTCCAGTTAAACCCTTCAGTTCACAAACGATTGCAGATAAATGAGTGTTTAATAAAGTGCTGTGGATGTGCTGATCCATCTGCTCGGAGGAGAAAAAGCCCTTCAGCACACAAAACAAAAATAAAAAACAGAAAAATGATTTCATTTTGTTGCCAGACTCACCCTGAGATTATTAATTTTTCCACAGAATGAATGTTAAAATATATGACGCAGTTGTTTTTCATCTACAGGATGTCCGAATTTCCTATTCGAGTTAATCTGTTCACTGTATTTTCTAGGTTATTAAATATAAACAGACAACAGGAAGTAAACTTGTGGTTTTAAATTAGTGTTTTAAAAGCAATCTAAATTGCACATTTAAAAAAAAAAAAAATAATAATTTTTAGAGAAAAGTAGTGGAATTTTGTTTTGCATTCTGCTGAATCCCAATCTGCACAAAACATAAATGTGAAGTACATTTAATCATAATATCTGCATGTAAGCATTAGCATCTAACTTAATTACCTTAAAGGAATGGTTCACCCAAAAATAAAAAAAGAGCTAAAAATGTTCTCATTCTCAGACCATTCAAGATGTAGATGAGTTTGTTTCTTCATCAGAACAGATTTGGAGAAATGTAGCATTACATCAGTTGCTCTGTTTGGACTCTCATTCTGATGGCACCCATTCACTGCAGAGGATCCATTGGTGAGCAAGTGATGGAATGCTACATTTCTCCAAATCTGCTCTGATGAAGAAACAAACTCCTCTACATCTTGGTTGGCCTGAGGATGAGCACATTTTCAGCAAATTATCATTTTTGGGTAAACTATTCACTAACATTTGTTCATGCATTTCTGAAATTTTACCAAGAACAACACAAACGTCTATTCCAAAGCAGCATTAGCATTCATGAATGCATATTTTAAAACTTTGCAAATCTTGCATACTAAATCATTGCTAGTATGCAAATTGGGATTCACACCAGCTTTGCAAGACTTAAAGTGTAATGGTAGCTTGATGGAATGTAAATGATTATGAAAATCAGCATTTAACATGTCAGATGCAACAGGAAGTAAGAAAGTGCAAACAAAGGTTCAGGTTTTATGGATGTGTTTGCTTATAATGTAGTGCGAGACATCTAAACCTTTCCTGTATTATGAGCAAGAGAATGAACTATTATTTTTTTTAAAAATCAGTTTGTAGCTAAAACAACAACTGACATTAAGAAACAATTTTAAAGGTAATGAAGTTTAAATGACAATCAAATTGCGAATGGAATCAATAAAAGACTCTTTCCTTAAAGTGATAGTACACCCAAAAATGAAAACCCTTGAGTTGCTCTTTTCCACACAATTAAACTGAAACAGTCATTTACACTGTTGAACTCCAAAAGTACCATTAACATATAATAAAATTAGTGTATAGTACTCGCGCACTATATTCAGAGTCATGCAGTACCCTTGCTTGAGCAACTGTTATTTGCTGAGGAAACGGTAGAAATGTTCATTTTTGGGTGAATTATTCCTTTAACTTGTAAACTCATGTCTGATGTGTTCAAACTGAAAGGTTAAAACAAGCCTTTATCCTTCATCAGGTCCATCTAAAACTGGGTAAGTGCTAAACGAATGAGCGCATTCACTCGATCACCTGTTGTCTTTCCTTCATTAATCTGTCTGGAGATGCGAGAGGGAGGACAGGAGAACAGCAGCAGGAAATGGGAGTGTGTGTGTGTGTTCAGATCAAGCCTCTGACTCCTGCTCGTCCGGTCCGGCCGCTTCCACTGTGGCTCCCGTCTCGCTCTCCAGCAGCAAAAACTTGCCATCGTTTGTCAGAGGCATCGACTTCATCAGCTGGGCCAGAGCTTCAGGGTCCTGATGAAGAGCCGAGGTTCAAGTCATGAAAATCACAAGGGGAAAATAAAAAACTACTCCCTAAAAAAAAAAGTTTGCATAACCTATGAAAGAAAATGTAGCAACTACACCTTGGAAATGATCTTTGAATGTAGCTGTAAAAAATGTGTATAAAACAATAATATTCTAACCCAATGCAATCCAAATTAATCAATACAAGTTTAGAAATATATACATATATATATATATTAAACAATCTTCATTTAGTCTTAATATATTTTAATATAAATTCACATAAAATTACTATTAATATTTATTTATATATTATTATACTAATATATTCTTAATTTTTAATATAAATATATTTAAAATATATTCTAAACATGTAATACAATACTTAAAAAAACTATATGTATAATATTTGTATTTCATATAGCATTACTATTGATAAGTTTGAATATTAATACGTTATAAGATTATACTAATATATTCATAATGTAACATTTTTGTTGATTTAAAGACTTATATTACTATAATTAAATATTATATCACTATTGATAAAAATGAACATTAAAACATTTAATATAATATACTAATATCAATTAAATTTTTTTGTTTTGTTTTAAAATATTTTTACATTTTCAAATTGACTTAACAGTCTGTCAATATAGTATTTCAGAGAATACCATGGTAAATATTCTGTTAATCTTTTGTTAGTGTTTATGTTTTCACAGTGATATTTTACAGAATATATTTTACGCAAATATATAAGGGCTGTCAAATCGATTAATCACGTTTGTGTGCTGTGTATATACACACGCTGTGTCGTTCAAACGTTTGGGATCAGTAAGACTTGTAATGTATTTTAAAGAAGTCTCTTATGCTCATCAAAGCTGCATTTATTTGATCAAAAAGACAGAAAAAAGATGTTATTACAATATAAAATAATGGTTTCTATATTAATATCCTTTAAAATATAATTTATTTCTGTGATGCAAAGCTGAATTTCCATCAGCCATTACTCCAGTCTAAAGTGTCACATGATCCTTCAGAAATCATTCTAATATGCTGATTTATTATTAGAATTATCAATGTTGGCAACAGTTGTGCTGCCAAATATTTTTTTTGGAAACTGCGATACTTTTTCAGGATTCTTTGATGAATAAAAAGTTAAAAAGAACAGCATTTATTCAAAATAGAAATCTTTTCTAACAATATCAATCTTTTGCTATCACTTCTTAATTTTTTAATTAAGTAATAAATCAATAAATCAATTTAACACATCCTTGCTGAATAAAAGTTTTATTTCTTTCAAAAAAAGAAAGAATAAAAATGTACTTACCCCAAACTTTTGAACTGTAGTGTATATTGTTAGAAAAGATTTCTATTTTAAATAAATGCTCTTCTTTTTAACTTTTTATTCATCAAAGAATCCTGAAAAAAAGTATCACGTTCCTTCCGTTCAAATGCGGAGTTTTGCGCATTGTGTGTGTGTGTGTGTGTGTGCGCGCGCGTGTGTGTGAGCGAGAGAGAGAGACAGGGTCACTCACAGTGGAGTCAGCTGTCTTAACCATGGCTTGTGTACTGCATCATTACTGTGTCTGTTCCCCTTTTGGGCTTGAACTGATGGTAAAACTAACGACATTATTAACTGTCTTGATATTTACTTTGAAAGCTGACGCTCGTGATTATGGTAAGGGGCGTTACATTTCCGACGAGTGCTTGCGGTGTTTGGCCAATCACAATGCACTGGGTCAGCTGGCCAATCAGAGCAGACTGCGCTTGTCGGAAGGAGGGACTTTGTAGAAAACGAAGCGTTTGAGAGAGGCGGGGCATAGAGGACCAACAATAATGTACAGTATTTGAAAAATAATGTGTTTTTTGAACATTAACGCATGTCAACATATTCTATTACACCAAATACACAAAATAATGATCTTTAAAAAAGCATCATATGACCCCTTTAAGTAAAATAAAAAGTAGTACTTTTTTTTGCTACTGATTTATTTACTTCCCCAGTGTGTTGAGTAGAAATGTCTCACCGTGTGTGTCTGAATCACCGTCATCATCCTCCGTCTCACCAAAGGGGTTTGTGCGTCTGACAGAAAACAAGCCGTTATAACAGAGCAGAGACAGTAAAACTATAAACACACTGTAAAACACACAAACACAGGCCATAAAATGATAAGCTTATATAAACACTTCACAAAAGGCCAAACGGTTTATCATAAACTCTTCATGTGTTCAGCTGGTGTTTGACCTCTGACCTCGCTCCAGCTCGGTTCTGGTCCAGGAACTCAGACACGGGCAGCACGATGTCAAACTGGATTGGTGTTCCTGGGACGATCAGATCCTCAGGCTCGAGGGTTGCAGGGGGTTTCTGAGGCTCTCTAGAGGCCACACTGCTTGGTTTCGCTCTATGGAGGAGAAAAAAAACAGGATTTTAAACAATAGTTTAAAAAGATCTATTAAAAGATTTGAATAAACTATAAATGCATGAATGTTTAGTCATCATGAAATATTAGTACCGGTCGGGGTTAGGAGAACCCTCTGCTCGCTTCTCAAAGCTGGTGATGGGCGTCACAGCCTGCAGGGCCGTCTGATGCAACCTGATCGCCACAGCCTGAAAACATCACACACACACACACACACACACACTTCAACTGACAGATTCATAGATTCACTGACATTAGGTGTCTGATACATACAAAAATGTATAAAAAATAAATAATAAACAAATAAAGTGTAATAAAAAAAAAGTAAACTATAATTTTAAATACAGTTAAATTTGTTCTGCCTTTAATTTAAAAAATAATTTTTAATGTGTGTGTATGTATATGTATATATATAGATAGACAGATTTATATATTTATATATATAAATTGTATTAATGATAATGTATTAATGACTATTTAATTCTGACTGTTTTCTTTAAATTAATATATATAATTCAATTCAAATAATGTATTTGATTATGTATTTCATTATTAAAAAATTATATTTTTCAAATATATATAAAATATAAACAAATATATAAAAAATGCAAAATATACATATTAAAATGTATAAAAATTGTAATATATGTATGTATATATTAATAATATATAATAATATATTAATAAAAAAATTGTATGAATGACTTGGTATTTAATTCTGACAGTTTAAAGGGGTCATATGATGTTGCTAAAAAGAACATTATTTTGTGTATTTGGTGTAATGAAATGTGTTTATGCGGTTTAAAGTTAAAAAAAAACATTATTTTCAACATACTGTACATTATTGTTTCTCCTCTATGCCCCGCCTTTT